CAGTTAATTTTGGCAGGGGAAAAAAGTAATGGCTCCGCATATTTCTGTAGAAGGAATCCTGGGTCATTTACCGGTTCTGGTTAAACGTTTTTTGAAGGCAGCGATTTAAAGAAAAAAAAAAATCATTTTTACTTGCTGAAATTTGGCACGTGTTCCCTTGAAAATCGAAAAGGGTTTCAAACGATTTGGGGTGACTTGGTTGGTTTGGTTTGGTTTTCAAACCTGCGGTTGGGCAGCGCATCGCCCACGGCGGGTGTTAACCCTTCTTTCCGCTTTATTTTCCACGAAGGCCGCCGTGTTTCCTGCTCGCTGTACCGAGGGGAGTCACCGGCCCCGCAGCTGACTCACCGCTCTCCAATCAATCCGCAGAAATGACAATTGTCCCACATTTTAAAATGGCAAAAGGGTAGGGCAGGTTGTGAGATCCCCTGATTCAGCGCAGCTGCCATTGACTAGAAGCAGCAGGTATCCTGTTACATCCACCGGTTTGGAGTCGCTCTTTTATCTCCCTTTTTGCCAGGGAACAAAGAGAATGGCTCACTTTGTGTTCTTCGCTCAAGTGCTTTCATTTTTCATCCATAAACGGAGCGTAACTTCATAGTTAGTTACTACAGCTGCAAAATGCCATTGCTTGACAATGGGGTGTTGCTCTGGGAGCGAGGGCTGGGTTACATAGGATGTGTGCACCAGGAGTTGAAGTGTCATCTTTGCACTTAAGAGGGAAAAGACGAATATTCTCCATCTAAATAGGGGAATATTCTCTATTCTAAATCAGCTGCAGCGTGCTGAGAGCAGGCAAGTTCGGGGCTCATCTTGGTGATCTGAACCCCGTTGCTAGATTTCTCGCACGAGTCTTTGGGGCTCTGCACATACGGATAAAAGCTAAAGGGGCTGGATTATGAATACATTCCCTTGATGAATACACGATAGCTACATAGATAAATACTGTGAGTAAGAACACACGCACGCTGTACGCTTGTAAAACACTGTGGGCAATTATGGCAGGCAGATTTATATTTTAAAAAGGCTCATAAACAGAGCTTGTAGTAGAGTGCACATACAACAGAAGGATTTCATGTCCGCCTCCTTTCGTGTCCATGTCCACCACCATCCTAAAGTTAGAACAATCTCCTTTATAGCTCAAGTTTTCCATCTGATTTCGCCAACAGTAAAACCAAAAATCTGTATTCTACGTTGCTGTGGGAAAAGCTGGAGTGAAACCCATTTTAGAAGCTCCCTGGGCTGGACAAAAGAGCATCTGAAACCCTGCCCGGTTAAAACTTCAGGTTCTTCATAAACGAGCACAAGAAAACGTCTCCGAAGAGGCAACCGGAGCCGTCAGCCCGAGATGTTTAAACCAGCGAATTCCCAGGACGGGCTCCCTCTCTGCGAAACGCGTGTGTTGTGACAGCTCAGGAGATTAGTTTTGCTGCGTGCTGGCATTCTGCTCCGCTGAGTTTACATGGATGTCGAAGAGCAGGTTTTCCCGTGTTGGGAAGAGGCTGTGCGCCAGAGCACGCTCTGCTTCTGGAAAGAATCATCGTGGGCTGAATACTGTGAGCAGAAGCGCAGAATGAAGTTACAAAGCCCTTTGCTTTACGCCGTTTTTGGCCTGCCCCGAGACCTATTGATTATTTGAAATGCTTTCAAGATGCGGGTTATCAGAGCTGCTGTTTTAACCTCTTATATTCCCACGTTAAAATTCCCCTTGCTTTCTAAAAGCCTTATGAACTGATTTCTGCTGGAAGAATTTTTAATAACTTATTTTCTCTGCGAGTTGGCAAAGGACAAGTTTTCAAAATTACTCACAGGGAAAAAGAAAAGCCATAGTCTCCTTTTAATATTCTGGGAACGTATCCTCGTGCAGCTTACGTGCTTCAGTTTTGTATGTTTTTAAAGGTGGGGTAGTTGAAAAGGAGTTCTGTTTTTCTGCTTAAGACAACATATAATTCACTGTCAGATGCTTTATTTTGGTTCTGCTGTGCTGTAACTGGATGACACAGCAGCTATAATTAACTCTTCCATCATTCTACTCACAGAACATAAAACCTTTGACTTACTCTTGAATTATTATATCCATGTTTCTTCAATTGGCAGAGTGAGGAGGCTTTCCCTAAAGAAAGGGCAATTGTTCTCGCTACCATTTTTTTTTCCTTTCCCAAAGCAGAGTTGGGAAATACGGTTTTTTTTTGTTCCTGCAATGTCTCAAAAGTCTTGATTCGCTTAGGGACGCGTATCCCTAAAACTCCCCGGGGCAGTAGAAATGGTCAGCATGGTCCTTGTTTCCCAAAGTTGCGTGGAACTCCAGCTCTGGTGGGAGAATTTATGGCGCTGTTAGACTGCTGTTTCGTCGCTCGGGCCTCTTACGGTGCTACCCACACGTTACCTCTTTTTTTTCCCCAGTGGAATGCTGTGATTTTAACAGTATGTTCCGTATTTTAAACATCCTCATAAAAAAAAAAGCTAAAAATAACCTGTTCCCATTTTAAAGCATTGCATAAATAGGATCCTAGCAAAGTAGGCTATTTAAAATGCTTTAGGAAGTGCATAGCTGATCATAACGCTGAGCATCGAGGCAGGAGAAGGGAAAGTTAAAATGCGTATGGGGCAGAGGCTTGCTGCAGCCCGAAGAGCTTATTTTAGCCTTCCCCCAGGGAATGGCAAACCATGCGGTCCCGCTCTCGGCTTGGGAATTATTTTCAGATCCTCCCCACACGTTCCTTGCCCTGTATTTGTGTATTAAACAAAGTTTCTCTGTTCTTTGCCAGTTTATTTTGTAGTAGTAGGCGATTGCTGGTGTTAACCCTTGAGGCTGCTGGTGGCCTGTTCAGTGCTGTAGGGATGAACTTCGATTTCAGGAGGCCCTGAGGTGATCCAGCGTTGCCAGAGGTAGGAGGCAGAGGGAATGGGATCAATGGGCAGCAGATGAAGAAGGAGTTGCAGCATGCTTCACTTTTAGCAATGAAACAGTTTGTTAACAAAGAGGGCGTGAAAGCAGGTTTCGCAAATGCAGGTGAGGCAAAGAGAAAGGCAGTTTACAAATTTGGAAGAAGAATGAGGCTGTGAATGGGCATCTTGGGAGCAGGAAATTGGGAGCTGGCATACTCAAGGAACTGTAGATGGGAAGGGGAAACACGATTCTGTAGGAAATAGCAGGTTGGGTGGCACAGGGCGGCTGCCCCTTGGGCAGTGTTGAGCAGAACCTGTCTCAGAAGAGGGCAGGAGGAAGGGCTCGGTTTTTGACTCCTTTTCTGGCAGGGCTTAATTTTCTCTCCTCTCCCAAAGCGACACGGAACTTCCTCCTCCGGAGATGGAGGAGTAGGAGGGGAGAGTGTGTGGGAAAGGCACCAACGCGTGAAGCGGCTCGATGTCAACTGGATGGGAGGGTTATAATGAGCGGGTGAGGCTGGGAGGAGAGTTTCTCATGTTTGTTATTACTTCTGCATTTTTGACCTTTTTGTTTGATTTTGTTTTGGTCTGGTGTGTTCTTTTCCTTCCATTGTTCGTAAGCGTTTTGGGACAGAGATTGCCCTTCTTTTGCGCCTCCAGATAAAACGGGGACAGAGCCCAGGGGCTTTTCGTAGTGTGCCACAGCTCTCGTTACACCAGGATGTTCAGGGAAAAGAGCCCCAGTGCTCTGGAGTGTTTTAAGAAAAATTGCTCTGTTGCTGTTTCCCTGGCATTAAATAAACTGTACACCCACAAAAAAGCAGCGTAGTAGGGGGGGTCACAGCGTCAAGTCGTGAAAATGATCAGAAGCCTGAAGTGGTTTCCCTGCAAAAAGACTAGGAAAAAGGCAAATGGTTTATTGTAAAGAGGGAAGAAGAAGCCTATGAAATAATTTAAGATAAGAAAAAGCGAGGCTCGCTTATCGTTTTTCTGATACGATGTGGAGAGGAACATTAAAAATTAAATGGAAAGCAGCAAATTTAAACCGACGGGGTTATTTTTGCACGTGGCAGATCTTCCCCCTCCAGCCTCTGAGTTAAAATTCCAGCAGAATTTTTTCCAAGGCTGCTCGGGTAATGGTGAATGAGAGTCTCCAGGGTTATGTCAGACAAAATTATTTTTAGCGATGTTATAAGCCCTCATGCCTCGGGGAAGAAATCAGCCACTGAAGAAGATGACGTGTCCCCACTGGGCAAGCTTTAATAACATTATTCTCTGTATTTCTTACTCTTCTGCGAAGCAGCTGACAATCTGCACCGTCAAGAGTCGGTGGACTAGACTGACTCCCTAATATGCAAATTCTCTTCTGCTGTAATTATTGTGTATAAAAGATGTTCTTGGGTCTGAACTCTTTCTGCTCTGAAGCTGGGCATGGAGGCTGGGCCTGCACATAGCCGTTGCTGGTTCAGACACATCTGCCCAGGTTATTCTCCAGCAGTTGACGAAAAAAAAAGCTGCTGTTTTCTCGTGTGAGATTTTTGTCTCATCAGAGGCACGGATGTTTTATAAAGGTAGGCAGGAGGCAGTAAGGAGCGCTGGAGGCTTGACTCTGGGATTGACAGCAGCACCTGAGAGCACGATGGTATTTCTTTTCTAGTACGTGAGAGCACTGAGAGGGATTTTTAGGCTTTGGCAGACCTGCGTACCCTCTCTGTATTGCTCCAGTCTTCCCACACAGTTCCTAAGCTGATACAACTTTGTATTACCCTTAATTAAATCTCCACCGTTGTCACGCCTTGTAACAGGATCTGTCTGACATTTTACCCATACTGCGTTTCCCTGACTCTCTCCTCTGAGGGCTTCGTAGGAGAATATTTGTAGAATGACTCCAAATTCCTCCGTGTAACTGGGCTGTGTTACAGAAACGGGATTGTCTGCGTCAGGCAAAGGAGGAAAGAAGGCCTGTAGACGAGCAAGAACTGATTGCTTCTTAATACAGATTGGCTTGTGTAATACAAAAACTGTTGGCTTTTAAACCAAAATGACCCACGTCCTCTGGTCGCTTCGCCTCTCCATCCACTCACCTGTTGTTTCCTTTGTGCCCTTTATAGCAGCGACTCCAGCAGCAGCTCGAGTGACGAGTCCCCGGCACGGTCGGTCCAGTCGACAGCCGTCCCAGCGCCCGCGTCCCAGCTGCTTCCATCTCTGGAGAAAGATGAACCCCGGAAGAGTTTTGGGATCAAAGTTCAAAATCTTCCAGTGCGCTCAACAGGTAAGTTCACCTGGGAAAGTGAAGCTGGGAGAAAAGGAATAGGAGGCAGGCTAGGGGCTGGTTAAATAACTGTTGTGGTGTGGCACAGCAGCCGTGTGCTGCCTCCGAGGATGGATTTCTCTTTGCTTCTGCGGCGGCCCTTGTGTGACGGTGGGAAGATTGTGTGATTAGTGACCATCCGTGAGAAATCCTGCGAGTGCCCCCCTTGCGTCCCTGGGCTTGAGCTGGCGCTTTGAAATGGTGATGTGGATTTCCCTGGGGAAAAACCTGAAGCCTCTCAAATTTCTCAAAACTTGGACCATTCACTCACACCAAGCCTCGGTTTCTTCTCGTGTCATACAAAAACTCGAGTGTTTTCTAGTGCAGCGTGGAGTTCTGCGGAACACCCGCGAGCATGTTCGTAACGGCGTTGAGTATCGCGTGGTAGATAGTGGAGGTGGTCGTGCGCCGTTCCCTGTGCTGATAGCGGGGGAGATCCCACCAAAAAACCAGCGTGGGATCACTTTTAAACCAGCTGTAACGTAATTGATGGATACAAAGGCACTGCCTGAATTAAAGCGATGTCTGTTAACTTTGTGAGCAGCGTACCTCAGTGTTAACATTCCTTCTAGAGATTTCGTTTCTGTAATGTTCCTTGATGTGACAGCACGCTGCGGTAAATACCCCACGGGTCCCAGGCTGGTTGTATGGTCGTGAGTCAGATCTTGCGAGATCTGATGAATCTGCCTCGTTAATCTCCCTGAATTGGCTGAACTGAGTGCTGGTAGCTTCCATCTCCAGGTCCCTCATCCCTCCTTTGGAAGACTGCTCTATGCAGTATCCACATGGGATTATTAATGAAGAAACACTCTTTATTTCTTCTTCGTCTTGCACTGGCTGTCTCTTAGAAGTCTCTTAGAAGTAAACCCCGTGTGTGTAGTTCCTCGGGTTTAAAAATCCAGGCAAAGAGAAGGATCAGCCGGAAGCTTTTGACATTGGCAAAATGAACACCCCAAATTAAAAAGGCACTTCCATGAACCCAGGTTCGGGTTAAACTGGGTGAAGTCACATTTTGGGAGGAAGATCGCATTTCTTCATGTAAATAATATTTCCATAGTACTAATGTTTATTTTTTGGTTTAGATACAAGCCTTAAAGATGGACTTTTCCACGAATTCAAGAAGTACGGAAAGGTGACGTCGGTGCAGATTCACGGAGCTTCTGAGGAACGGTATGGACTGGTGTTCTTCCGACAGCAGGAGGACCAGGAAAAAGCACTAAATGCTTCCAAAGGAAAACTCTTCTTTGGCATGCAGATTGAAGTCACGGCCTGGATAGGACCAGGTAAGGTCCTTGCACTGGGCACGTGGCTGCGTATTCATGGGCTGTTGTGAAGAGGCAGCATAGGAGTAAGGAATGTTAAAACTGCCTTTCTGCAGAAACATAATTTAAAGAAACTGGGAAACACGCCAGAATAAATTCAGGAGCTGGAAGAGTGGATGCTCTTAGGTCAGACAGTGAAAGAGTTCCAGTCTGAAACCTCAGAGAAGGAAACCTGCCATCCTCTCAAACAGTGGGATCTGCTGGCTGCTGGAAGAAACAACCTCATCTTCCATGTCTCAGCAGAGCAGAAGCCAATGGGTGGTGGAAGCCTAGCATTGAGTCCTGACAGCCTTGGTTTTCCTGCTTTTAATTAAACCAGCTAACGATGGCTGCAGTTTGGAGACTCAGGCTGCATAGCTCAAATGACCAACCGTGAAAACTGTAGCATTAAGCATGGGGTTAACTTCTCAGCCTGTGCTTCAGATGCTTGTTTAGAAAGTGATCTGTGAAAATGTGCTCTTGTGAGACCCCACCTGGAGTGCTGCGTCCAGCTGTGGAGCCCTCAGCATCAGAAGGGTATAGACTGGTTGGAGCGAGTCCAGAGGAGGCCACGGAGATGCTCCGAGGGCTGGAGCCCCTCTGCCATGGGGATAGGCTGGGAGAGTTGGGGTGTTCAGCCTGGAGAAGGGAAGGCTCCGGGGAGACCTTATTGCAGCCTTCCAGTACCTGGGGGGGCTACAAGGAAGCTGGGGGGGCCTTTTTACAAGGGCCTGTAGTGACAGGACAAGGGGGAATGGGGTTAAATTGAAAGTGGGGAGGTTTAGGTTAGATATCAGGAAGAAGTTCTTCCCGGAGAGGATGGGGAGGCACTGGGAGAGGTTGCCCAGAGAAGCTGTGGATGCCGCATCCCTGGAAGTGTCCAAGGCCAGGCTGGATGAGGCTTGGAGCCACCTGGTCTAGTGGAAGGTGTCCCTGCCCATGGCAGGGGGGTTGGAACTGGATGGTCTTTAAGGGCCCTTTCAACCCAAACCAGTCTGTGATTCTAAAACAAACCTCTTCCATGTGCTGTTGACATGGTACAGGGAAGCCTTGTTTGAATACAGGGTGGGCAGTAATATTTGTTAAAAGAATTCTGGCGAAGCAGTTGGAGTGCACTGCTCCTTCTCACCTGAGGATGCTCAGATTCCTCAGCATTCACCCAGTGGTGTGATGCAGAGGTTTCACATTCCACGTCAGTACCAGTGCGCAAGTGCAGGACTGTGTATGTTGTCAAAGGCATCGGTTACTCTCGTGCAGATCATATCTGCTCACCAGGAAGTAGACTCAAACAAACACATGCACGTGAACCGAGCCCACATGAAAAACACCTCCGTACGTTACAGATGTCTCGTCCTCTTTTCCTTCTAGAAACAGAAAGCGAGAATGAATTTCGTCCTTTGGATGAAAGGATAGACGAGTTTCACCCAAAAGCAACAAGAACTCTCTTCATCGGTAACCTGGAGAAAACAACCACCTACCACGACCTTCGCAACATCTTCCAGCGCTTTGGTGGAATAGTGGTAGGTGAATTCGCTGTACTGTGTAGGGTGTCATCGCCTGTTCTTTCCCTGCAGAGCTGGGAAATGCTGCATCGTACTGCCAATGCCAGATAATTCAGTCTTCGTACAATCATCTGAGTCACTCACCTCGCTAGAATATTTCTGAGAGCCTTTCTTTCCGTTGAGCACGGGTGTGTGGAGGCGCTCGCTCAGCAGAGAGAGTCCTACGAGCGTTTACCAGAAATACATCTTCCGCTAGCTCAGCGTTTGCAGAGAAGCCGAACTGGGTAGTTGGGATGTGAATATGCCTGGTGTTATTTTCATGTTGAATCAGTACAACTCTCTGAAGTCTCATTTCCTGTTGATTTCTGAAACAAAGGGTGTTGTTGCCGCATGTAGAAGTAGCCGTCAGCTCTCGCAACCCGTGCCCTGGCGACGGGGCAGAGGAGGCGCGGAGCAGATGCGTTCGCTGTGACACATGGGGTTTGGGCTTTCAGCTGAGCAGGCGTATCTGAACGAGAGAGAGCAGCAGTCACCCCCCTCTCCTCGTGCCGCTCTCTATCAAGCCATATCAGTATTGTATTTAAGAGAAATTATCCAGAAAAGTGAAGTAACTATCCACAGTCAGTTTAATTGATTGAATCTGGGCTTCAGCACGGATGGTTTGGGCACTCGGCGTGGCTGTGGCTGCTTATGAACGAAACAGTCACAATTCGGCAGTGCCACCTCGCACGTTTTCCATGAAAACTTAGAAGCTCAGGTGCAAAAGGGACCGGGTTTATAACCTTTCTGGTGGGTAATGGGCAAAGGAATGGTATTTTATTTGCCTGTCAGAAGGAATTGCTTGCCCAGGGTGAGCGGTCAAGTCTAACTTGCCGTGGCTGCGATTGTGCTGCTTGAGACACTTGGAATTGTCATTCCCTATTAGTATCCCACTTAAATCATTAGGCCAGGACTGTAGGAGTCTAATAGTTGTGTAAATCTCCCTGTTTGCTGTTTTCCCAGATAAAGAGCTCTGGGGTGAGACCATATCAAACTGCTGCCTTATCCCTAAATTTATTAACCATGAAATTAGTCCATCCTGGATGTTGGAACGTTGGGGTATAAATTCACGTGCTGGCGTTGGCGTGGCGCTCACAAAGGAAACTTGTGCTATTTAAACAAATAAACCGAAACGTTCCACCTTCTATTTTCAGCCCAGAATGAATCATAGTATCATTAGTTTGTTCAGAGACTTCGGGTACATTTGCCAGTACTAGTGCTGAGCTTGAATGTTAACCAAATGTCAGCTCCAGGCTTGCTGGGTTCTTAAAATTGACTAAAATCAGCCTTTCTTGGGCTTTCGTCGCTTTCCGTGACGGCGCTGGCTTTGGAATGAGCCGGTGGTGGCTGGGGATCAAATGCCAGCAGCGACAGGAGTCGAGGGTCCTTTGTGCCTCTGCCACGTCGGTGCGAAGCTGGTTCAGGGGACGGGTCCAGCATCACTTTCTAGGAACAGGATGAATCGTGTTTAGTTGGAAAAGAAACCCCGCTTGCCTCTTGGCTCAGAAATGAGGATCGGAGCAGGTTGTTTTCTCTCGAGCCTTTGCGAGCGAAAATTAATCTGTTTTTCTTTGATTCTGCGTTGTCTCTTCTTGACATAATATTAACAAACTGAGGCTGCTGTTTGTTGCTCAGGTCAGGCTTATTTTTGCGGGGTTGAACTTTACATCTGCATTACGAAGAGCTTGCCCTGCGTCAGTAAGGATTTGGTTTTGCTGTTGAAGGAGACACAGCAGACCAGTGAAATTTTTAACTGTCTGCTGTTGCTTAAATCCTGTCTCTGAAGAAAATATTAATTAAAGGCTGCTTGCTGTGCCATGCGTCTGTGAAATAAAATACTCTGCTTAGCTCTCGCTGACCCCGCTGGATGTCCTTCCCGGCCTGTTGCTGACTGTCGCTTGTTCTGCTTTGTTTTGTTCCCCAGGATATCGACATTAAGAAAGTGAACGTCTGCAGTACTGTGATATCGCAAGCGTGTGTAAAGCAATTAAGAAGATGGATGGGGAGTATCTTGGGAATAACCGGCTCAAGGTAAAGAAAACCTCCTGTGGACCGTATCCTTCTCCTTGCTGCTTCCCCTTACGTCGTCGTAGGCTGTTATGCAGCAGCGTAGATGATGGAGGAAAGGTGTATATTAAGGCCTAGGTCAGACTAGAGCGTGATGCTTTCAACAGCCACCGTCATTGGGGTTAATCGGCATTTCTGTGGGCTGTCTCCACAAGGAGCCCCAGGATTGAGTGGACTTGGTGACTGACATTACCTGGCTGGAATGGCCGTGGCTGGCGAGGCCGTGCTGGGAAGCTGTGCCGGTCCCGCTGACAACCAGGGGCTGTCAGTCCCCGGAGCTGTCAACCTGTCACTTTCCAGACGCATCCAAATTGTAGAACCGAATGTTGTCAAACACCGTATTTGTTTAAGCATGCAGAATTATTTTCATTAATTGCTATTTGATTTTTGTCTTGCTCGCACCTGTGCGCCATGCTAATTTCAGAAAATCCGTACAAACGACTAGCTTTCTTCAAATAACTCTTTAATTAGGCGTGCTCTGTTCCGTTAGCTTGACGCTTGTGAATTGTACTGATGGAAGTTTTGCCCTTTTGTGTTCAGCTGGGTTTTGGGAAGAGCATGCCTACAAACTGCGTGTGGTTAGATGGTCTTTCTACAAACGTTACGGATCAGTATTTAACTCGACATTTCTGCCGATACGGGCCTGTGGTAAAGGTAGGTGGGAGGCTTTGGTGTGTGGTTTGAAGTTGTTACTGTCTTCCTTTCTTCCCATCCTGTCCTTTCAACCCCCACTGTCCAGGGCTTTAGAGCTCAGGTAGAGAAATTCTCTCTGGGGTGTAATTTGGCCGACAAGACTCCGTAGCTTGGCGTCCTGTTGATCCCATACGTAGAGCTGTCGCTTCTGGTGTTTCGCAAACAAAAAAAACCCCATATTTTGAATGAGCCGAGACAACCATTGGGAACCATTTGTTGCTCTTGTGCAGTACAGTCTCTCCCCAACAAAATTCCTTTAGAAGAAATTTCTTTTTGGAGGAACAGCAGTCTAATTATGTAGTTACGCTCATGTACGCTAATTGCGTAATTAGGCATTACTATATATTTTTTCATCAGACAATTAAAAAAAAGACGACTTTTTGAAAGCAGTTAGGCTAGTCACACCGACAGAACTACGTGAGAGAAGAGAGAAGGTCATCGCTGGCGCGACGTACCCGTGTCGCACAGTGGGAGTGCGTTACCCGCCCCGCAGGGGGCCGGGGCTGGAGATTTCCGCACGTGCTTAAGCGTGGGAGTTGTCCCCTCTTTCTGTTGGACACTGATGTGCTTAAAGTTAAGCAGCGTGGGTAAACCTTGTCAGGATCAGGGTCTTGCCTCCTTAAGGGATTTTTATGGGTTTGTGTTGCAGCTTTGACACTCTTTATTGTAGCTGTTGTTGCTTGAAAAAAAAAGTTTATTTATTAGCTTGCTAAAGGAAGCTAATATTTGGAAATTGGGCGTTTAGCCCAAGTGGTACTGCAGACAGTGCTAACAAAAGCTGTTTCCATTTTGGGATTAAATGTTCCCTTTACCTTTTTTCCCCCCTAAAACACATTGGAAATTTTTTTTAAAAAAACGAGAAGTAAACAAAGAGAAACTATAAAACTCAAGTCACCAAAGGAAAAAAAAAAGTAAAATACAGAAAAACAAAATAAAGGCATAATATACCTCAAGCCACAATATCCACAATTCAAAGCAGTCCCGTGTCCTTTTATTGTCTCTTCATTACAATATGCCTCATCAGCAAAGCCTGGAAATTTACCTTGCGAAAATTGATTTTCTTACTGGTACCCTCATGACTTAGGATTTTGTTGGGACTGACATTAAGTCCTGTGGATGAGGCTCTTATTTGGTTTTTGTTTTGTTTTTTTGTTTTTTACAGGTGGTGTTTGACCGCTTAAAAGGCATGGCCCTGGTTCTCTACAATGAGATTGAATATGCACAAGCAGCTGTAAAAGAGACCAAGGGGAGGAAAATCGGTGGGAATAAAATTAAGGTGTGCAGAATGACCTCCAAAACAAACAAACAAACAGAGAAACCAATTGCATTTAGGCCTTAGCCCTTAAATGCTGGCATTTCCAGACTGCCAGTCCAAAGGAATCCCTTAGTGGGACGCCTAAGTCCCAGGCATGAAAGGCTGAAGCCATTTTCCAATACTCGGCTTATCAAGATGTTAGGGTGTCTCGGACTGTTAAAAGCCTTTTCCGGTACTCTGCCGTTTGTTTCACTGAACTTGTCTCTCTAAGCTCCTGAGTGTTGGTGTCCGTGTTACTACCTCGTTTACCCCAATCCAAGGCAAAACTTGAGTCTGTTTTCAGGTTAGAAGAGTGAAATTGGAGGGTGTGAGGTCCTCCTGGACAACACATGGCTGCGTGTCGGCTGCTCCCGGCTGACGCCCAGGCTCTCGGCATGGCCGAGGCGATCCCAACGGTGTTGGGATCCCACGGTGTTGCCGTAGCTGTGGGGTACCTCAGCCCGAGTATGCAATCTGCTCGGGCAGTAGCAACTCCTTCCTTGTAACAGATTCTTTAAAAATCATGATTAAAAACACTACTTAAAAAAAGAGATAGAAAGTATTTTTTTTTCCGGGAGCAACACTGAACATTCACAGGGATTTCTTGGATTTGGGTGAATGTGGTAATACCTGTTACGACTGTCCCATCGATTCCACTAATTGGGGATGTGAGGTCTCAGCCAACCCTCTGAATTACCTTCCTCCTCCTCCTTTCTTCTCTCCTAAAGAGTGGGCAACGATTCCAAGCGTGGTCTCTCCTCTGGCGTGTTAATCTAGCAACTTCACACCCCCTGGGGTTGGGAGTTGCCTGGTGGCTGAACATAAGTAGCCATTACGTGCAGTACAACGGGCGGTCCTTTACAGGTTTTTTTATCTGGTGGTTGTGGGTCTTGCTAGACTTGGTGACTCTGGAATAAGCGACACCCTCGATGCGTGTGTGTCCCGGCTCCACCGCCCTGCTTACACAAATACCTGGGCTGATTTTTTTAAAAACAACAAGTAGAATGTTAAAACAAATGCACTGTGGGGCCAACATGCAGTTAAATCCATTTTGATCCCTAATTTTTTACATCAGCTATGCCATTAGCTGCTGATGACTGTCACCCTTGGCTAGAAAACATCAACCCTTGGACTAGCTGGAATAGGGAGCTGCAATTCAGGAGGCTTGGTTCCCTTCCCGTCCCTGCTCTTGCCTTGCTGTATAACCCCGGGCAAGCAGCGTGGAGGCTGAAATAGATGAGTAATACTGACCTGCTGTAGCACTGCGTTGAGATAAAAGGGACTTTGGAACTGTAATTGTATTAGAAACGTCAATACCACGATAATAATGTGTATTTTTCCCGCTGGTTTACTGAACAGAAGCCTCTGGCCTTGCAGCTGTAGCAGCAAACCCCAGTAAGGAGGTAGTTGTGTAGCTCCACACAGCTACACTGAGTTGAGAGAGAAGGGTCTTTATTCCTGGGGGTGGCGTAGGGCAGGTCCTGGGAAGCGTTGGACATTTTTGTTGTTAAATATTACCTTCAGACTCCGCAGCAGGCAGTGAAATGTGGTCGACATGTGGTGCTGCTCTCACTGAACGTGATCTACCCTTTATTTTCCAGGTGGACTTTGCAAACCGAGAGAGTCAGTTGGCATTTTACCATTCCATGGAGAAAACGGGTCAAGACATCAGAGACTTTTATGAAATGCTGGCAGAAAGAAGGCATGTATCGATATCTTTGTTACAGTCTTTCGCTTTCCCAGCATCTTCTTCGCCGCAATTAAACTTTCTTCAGGACATAATTATTAACCAAACATTTGGTTTTGTTCCTTTAAACTTTATCCTTCCTTTGCAAGTTTTATTAACAACATTTTAGCATTTTAACTTTTCGATATGTATATTTTAAACCTTTTTAGGGGGTCAGACTTAAACTGTGCAGATTAAAGCAGGCAGGACAGTGTAGTCAGTTACTGAAACTCATCCTTAGATGGAGGTTGTGGCTGTCCGCGTGATCTGGGTAGTTAGTCTCCGGTTACTGTGACGGGTCACCAGGACACAGTTGTGAGTCATTCATCATTACGTAGGAATGCGGAGGCCAGCGTATCTGTAACGCCTTCCCTCCAGAGATATGTATGTGTACGTAGGGTCTGAGAAACTGCTGCTGCTCATCTCTTGAGCAGAGTAAAATTTGGTCTTCCACCTACCCCTTTTCAACAGAACTAGTTTGTTAACTAGACAAAACAATGAGAGATGAGTGAGGCTGCAATATTTTTTGTTCCTCTTCGACATGAAAAATGCCTTCTGGGCGGATGTCCTTCTGCAGTGTCCGTCGGGACGGTGTCGGGCCGTATCGCACATGCTGCAGCGGCTCGCGTGCCCCCTGCGTGGCCACTTCTCTGCCGACCCTGGCTGAGAGCAGCCTGCCACAGAGGCACGCCTCGTTTTGTGCTGCTTTTTCTCCAGTGGCTGGATAAACAGCCGTGGTTTTTTTCCTGATGACTCTGGGGAAGGCTGAAAAGCAAAGCTGTTATTGTGTGGGTGCCTACTTGCTACCTTCAGAGCCTGACGGCGTTGTTCGGGTTCTGCTTTAGCTGTGAGTAAGCCCAGCGTGATGCTGATTGTACCTGCACGCTGGATAAACGGAGCGTTGTTTTTCAGCAAAATAGGTTGGTCTAACACAGATGCAGAGTCGCTGGATTTAAAAGCGAGAAGGGCTTGGAAATTGGGATTTGCATAATGGATATAAATGTGTGCAGTCCCTGGTTCTTGCCAGATGTTGTGGTGTGCCAGCAAGCAGTCACTAACAATTTCCTCTGAACTACCCCGAATTCAGAAAAGAGGAGTGCATTATCCGATGGCTTTTAACGCCCAGGAGTCAGCTGGGCTTGTCTTTGCTGTGAAATAACGCTGATTTCTGCAACAGCGTGATCTTTGGGTACACGTTAGTCTTGTTTTTCCTTTTCTGTCATTATGCTCACATAGTCATTAGGAGAGACTTGGGAATAATGAATCACAGAGTGATCGAGCGAGCTCTGCAGTGCGTCTTGTAATTCTGCATCTTCTGGTCCTCCTCCGAGCTCCTCCTGGCAGTTCGTGGTCCCTTGCAGTGATGATCTGCACTAACCAGCTTCTCTTAGGTGGGAGCTGTAGCCAGTCTAAAATAAGACTAAAAGGAAGAACGACAGAAACCCAAGCAGAACGCATAATTAATGTTTTGAATGTCACAGCTGCCTTTCGCAGTGTCCCACCTCGCTTGCAGAATGAGGTTTTTGTCTTCCATCTTTTGTTTCTTTGTGGTGTTTTTCCATTTTCTACATTTCTTAAGAGGTGGAAGCTGTCAGCTTTTAACAGGAACTGCAAAGCCAAATGAACATGGGTGAAATAGAGCCTGCGGAGCACTCTGTAGTGGTGAAGGGGAGCACCAGCTCTGTGCCACTCGGCAGCCCAGGAGGCATTCAGCGCGAGGAAGGGCTCGTTTTTGCCCTTCAGAGCTTCTGACCTAATAAGGCTCAGTGCTTGACTGACTTTGCTGAGTGCTTCCTGTGAATTCACCTGCTCTCGTAAACAACCTCGTGGGTTTTGTTGACTCGGTTTGTTAATTGGCAATGTCAGCGTGCCACGTGCAGCACAAGGGCTCGTTTTGGAATTGTCACTTCCAGGGCTTAGCGTTTTTAAAGAAATCCTGTCACTTCACTTAGTAATGGAGAGGTTCCAGCCTTGAGTTTTGCGTTGGCTCATGTTTGCAGAGGTCGGTTTCAGGTTCTTGAGGTGGGCTGGTCTTCCCTCAGCGGGCTGCGCGGGGGTGCGCAGGGACCTTCGTTCACGGCGGCGTCTGAATTTGGCGAAAAACAAGCAGTGAGAGTGGTGACGAGATGCTCGGCAGAGCTTTCCCTAAATGACCGGTGAATTGCGTACGGTATTTGAGAAGCTGACAGAGCATTTAACCCGCTGCGCGCCCATCCGTTGCCGTTAAATCTCTGCGTGCGGCTGTGATCGGTTGCCTTGGTGCAGGCCTAAAGAAACCGCCGTAAAACGATTGCCCAGCATGGCGAAGAGTGTGGTGAAGGAGAACTGATTTGTTTATTCTCATATTTAGCAGGGACGAAAGAAGAGGATCTTACGAGTATGCCCCGGATCGTACTTACTACGAGACTGTTCGGACTCCGGGGACGTATCCTGAAGATCCTCGTCGGGAATACCCAGCTCGCGGCAGAGAATTTTACGCGGAGTGGGATCCCTACCAAGGAGACTACTACGACCCACGCTACTACGACGATCCGCGCGAGTACAGGGATTACCGAGGCGATCCGTACGAGCAGGACATAAGGGAGTACAGTTACAGGCAACGGGAGAGAGAGAGGGAGAGGGAACGGTTTGAATCCGATCGGGACAGAGACCACGAACGGAGACCGATTGAACGGAGCCAGAGTCCGACGCACTCCAGGCGTCCGCAGAGCCCTGGGGCGTCTCCGTCCCAGTCGGAAAGGCTGCAGAGCGATTCAGAGAGAAGGATTTACAGCAGGTCATCGGATCGCAGCGGCAGCTGCAGCTCTCTGTCTCCTCCACGATACGACAAGCTCGACAAAGCCCGCGTGGAACGTTACGCAAAAAATGAAAAACCGGAGAAAGAGCGTGTCTTCGACCAGGAGAGAGTCGAGAAGGAGAAACGCTTGGTGAGAAAGGAGAAGCCGGAAAAGCTAGAAAAGGAGAAAACCGATAAGCAGAAACGAAAAGCCAAAATCCATTCGCCCAGCTCTCAGTCTTCTGAGACGGATCAAGAGAATGAGAGAGAGCCCAGCCCTGAAAAACTGAAGGGCAACAGTAAACAAAGTAAAGAGAGAGGTGACAAAGAAGGGACAGCCAAAAACCGCCTGGAACTGATGCCCTGTGTCGTGTTGACCCGAGTGAAAGAAAAGGAGGGGAAGGTTATCGATCAGCCCTCTCTGGAGAAACTGAGGGCAAAGCTTGATAACGACACCATGAAGTCCCCGCTGCTTGACCAGAAAACGCAGGCTCCTCAGACAGAGCAGGCCAAGTCTGACCAGTCTAAACTGGAACCTGTCAGAACCAAGGTACAGAAAGAGAAAGCCCTTGCCAGTCACGTAGAAGTGGTGGATAAAGAGGGAAAACTGAAACCCAAAAAGCACTTGAAGACAGAGCAGACATCCGAGGGGGCCAACGCTGTGGATTTAGACAAGCTGGAGGCTCGCAAGAGACGTTTTGCTGATGCAAATCTGAAGCCTGAGAGGCAGAAACTGGAAGTAAAAAGAAGCAGCCAAGATGAGGACGATGCACGCGTGGTTTTGAAAAAGCAGCTGGATGCAACGGCGTCGTCTAGAGAAGCGACGGTGTTACGGGAAGGAGAATTGGAGAGAAAACCCCTGAGGAAGGAGATGCTTAAAAGGGAATCTAAAAAACTCAAACTGGAAAGACTCATTCCTGTTACTAGTCCCAAAGAAATTCAGGAGACACTTAGCGTTGGTGGGATTGGCATGCGTCCCACCCTGGATCTGCAGGCGAGGCTAATGGAGGCAGCCGATGAACCAGTGGAAGTGCAGGAACTCTCTTCTAAAAAGCTGAATCCAGTAAAACCCCAGCATAAACAGGTACAGCTGCTCGACGAGCAGGGAGCGGAGCGAGAGGACGCGAGGAAGAACTACTCTGCTCTTCCTGAAGACGCTCCTGACCATAAACTTGGCCAAGAGAAACCTCCGTCAGCTGACACAGAGGAGAAAATCGGCATCGACATCGACCACACGCAAAGCTACAGGAAGCAAATGGAGCAAAGTCGCAGGTTAAAACAGCAGCTGGAAATGGAGATCGCGAAGTCCGAGAAGTTTGGCAGCCCAAAGAAGGATGTGGATGAATATGAGAGACGGAGCTTGGTCCACGAGGTGGGAAAACCTCCGCAGGATGTCACCGACGACTCTCCGCCAAGTAAAAGGAAAAAGACTGACCAGTTTGACTTTGAAATCAGCACTAAAAGAGAAAGAAACTACAGGAGTTCTCGCCAGGTGAGTGAGGACTCCGAAAGGACATCCTGTTCCCCTAGTATCCGACACTTCCCTTTCCATGAGGATGATGACACGCTCGATTCTCCGAGGCTGATGCTGTTAAAGGAAACCAAAGAGTCGCCCAAAATAGAAGAAAAGGGGCTTTCGTACTCCAACATGACTGTGAGGGAGGACTCACTGAAATTTAATCCTTACGATTCCAGCAGAAGGGAGCAGATGGCAGAAATGGCTAAAATAAAACTCTCCGTGCTGAGTTCTGAGGATGACTCGGCTCGGTGGGAGACGCAAGTGAAGCAGGAGCCCGGTAGGGTTGATATCAGCTTCCCAAGCAGCATCGTCAAAAGAGACAGCATACGGAAGCGGTCGGTCCGAGACCTGGAACCCGGCGAGGTGCCTTCAGATTCGGACGATGACAGTGAAAACAAGCCCCATTCCCCGAAAGCCTCGTCCTTGTTAGAGAGTTCCAGGTTGTCTTTTTTATTAAGGGACAGAGAGGAGAAGTTACGTGAAAGAGAGGAGAGACTGTCGGGTTCCTTAGAAAGAAACAAATTCTACTCTTTTGCTTTGGACAAGACAATCACGCCGGACACAAAGGCCTTGCTTGAGCGAGCGAAGTCTCTCTCTTCATCCAGAGAAGAAAACTGGTCCTTTCTAGACTGGGATTCGAGATTTGCTAGCTTCAGAAACAACAAAGACAAAGAGAAGGTTGACTCGGCTCCGAGGCCTATCCCGTCTTGGTATATGAAGAAGAAAAAAATCCGGACCGATTCCGAAGGTGGAAAACTGGATGATAAGAAAGAAGATCATAAAGAGGAGGAACAAGAGAGACAGGAACTGTTTGCTTCTCGTTTTTTGCATAGTTCCATCTTCGAACAGGACTCCAAGCGCCTGCAGCATTTAGAGAGAAAAGACGATGATCTCGACTTCATTTCTGGTAGGTTGTACGGGAGGCAGTCGTCCTCCGACGGGACGAACAGCGCGGCTGACCTGGTGCAAGAGCCCGTGGTTCTCTTTCACAGTCGGTTTATTGAACTGACGCGAATGCAGCAGAAAGAAAAGGAGAAAGATCAGAAACCGAAAGAAGCGGAAAAACAGGAAGATAAAGAAAACCGGCCGAAAACACCAGAAACGGTTCCGGAGAGTAAAGAACCAGAAAATAAAATTTGCTCGGGGGTCGGTCCCTCTTCGGTCGCTGTCCTACCCCAGGAACCAGCACCGGTTGCTTCCGAGAAGGCGGCGAGTGAGAAGGTAGCGGTGGAGACGGCTTCTGTCAAAGAAGAAAAACCATCTGAACCTGCTTCCGCAGTGGAGGAACAAAAACCTTTTCCTGAACTTGCTGCTCCCGTCAAAACGGATCCGCCCGAGCAGACCGAGCCCCCGCCAGTCGTAGAAGCTGGTAAAGAAGTTGTGGCTACAGCCCTGGCACCGGAGGAAGACGCTGTGGCAACTGAGCATCCGTCATACTTGGACACCAAGCCTCCTACTCCTGGAGCTTCATTTTCCCAGGCAGACATCAGTGTAGATCCAGAGCCTGAAGGTGTCCCGTTGGTTCCTCCTCCACCCAAGCTGGTGCAGAAGCCCGACGAGGCTGCCGAGCCTAAAGAGGAAAACCTTCCGCCTTCCGCCAACGCTGATGCCGCTGCGAGTCAAAAAGCAGAGGTGTCCGCCGAGGCCCTGCCGCCCGTTTCCGACAACGACATGGAAGTCGAACCTCCAGTTGTTGTAAAAGATAAAAAGTCCTACAAGAGTAAGCGCTCCAAGACTCCCGTGCAGGCGGCTGCAGCGAATGTGACGGAGAAGCCCGTCACGAGGAAGAGTGAAAGAATTGACCGTGAAAAGCTCAAAAGGTCAAGCTCTCCTCGCGGGGAGACGCAGAAGCTTTGCGAACTGAAAGTGGAAGCAGAGAAGGTTTCGAGGAACGCTGCTAAATCCCCTAGTTCTGCTGCAGAGCTGGAAAACGTGGAGCCGAGCCTGCCGATAGGCCGGACTAGGCGCAGAAATGTGAGGTCGGTCTACGCTACCACAGGGGACAATGAAGGACCGTCTCCGGTGAAGGATTCTGTGGAGGTCACTAGATCCACCAGGAAGAGAGGGGAAAAGGAGCCGCAGGAAACAGTGACAACCGTTCCTACGACCCCCAGGAGGGGAAGACCTCCGAAAACCCGCCGCAAGCCGGAGGAGGAGATCTCTCCAATAAAGACAGAACCAGTACAGCAAGAGGTGGAGGAGGCTGAACCTAAAGATGCTGCGGAAGCTCCTAAGCCAGCAGAAGGTTGGAGGTCTCCCCGATCCCAGAAGCTCACACACAGTCACTCATCCACTGCTACCAACCAACAGGGGAAGAAAGGGAAGAACGAACCAAAAGCCGACATCTCGGCTGAGTCTGAAGATGCCGCCGAAAGAAGCGGTCAGGAACCGAGCGTCGGTGACAGCAGCAGTAAAGCAAAAGCCGCTGAGAGGGAACCAGCGAGTGAGCAGAAACGTGATAGGAAAGAACTGGATGTGGAGAAAACCCAGCTGGAAATCCCCACGGTTGAGATCATTGAGAAGAAGCCGGCACCGGAAAAGGTTACGAAATCCAAAAGGGGAAGGTACAAAAACACCAAAACCGTTGTAGATAAAACGTCTGTCTGCCTCAAAAACGTTGAGATACGCCTCAACGTGGACGAAGTCAAGGGCGCCCTGCGGCCGACCGAGGAGGAGGCGGAGCCGGTGGCGGTGTCGCCAGCCAAAATGAAGAGCCCCCCGAAAGAGGACATCTTGCCACCCCATTTTGCTAAGAACGAGGTAGAAGATTCCTTCCCAGAAACGGAAAAAGAGGTGGTGCGGGAAGCGAAGCCGTCCCCCGAAGCTGCCCAGTTGGCAAAGCAGATTGAACTGGAGCAGGCCGTGGAGAACATCGCAAAACTCACCGAAACTCCTCCGTCGATTGCTGCCTACAAGGAGCCGACGGCAGACGTGCCTGAAGTTCGTCCGGAGGAGGAAGGAGATAAGCCCGCCCACCAGGCTAGTGAAACAGAGCTGGCAGCGGCCATCGGCTCCATCATCAACGATATTTCTGGG